CTACCCACCCACTCACCCACCCATCCATCCACCCATTCATCCATCCACCCTTCCATCCACCCACCCATCTATCCACCCATCTATCCCTCCATCCATCCCTTCATCCATCCATCCATCTATCCATACTAAAATTAGTAATTTGTTTTATTATATTCTTCAATTATTTAAATTCAATTTAATTTAAATAATTTATATTATTACAAGAAAAATGAGACAATTATGAACATGTTTAGATTTTCCTTGGTGAGACCAAACTGGACAAGATTAGGACAGAGTTTATCAGAGAACAGCTCAGCTTCTGTTTGATGATGAAGTTAGAGAGTTGAGAGATGAGAAGAAAACTCATCATTTCCTCTGGAGCATGAACTGCTGTGCTCAGTCTGGATGTGGTGAACCAACAGACTGATCTTTATCTACCTCACTTATTTTTAAAGCTGATGCCCCACTTGGTTTTTCAAAAAGAACACATTTATTATTGAGTTCGATTTTTTTTTTTTAAAGGATTAAACAACTATTACCAAGTGAATTTGTTTTCCATATGTACATTAAATAGGATAACCTGCACCAAACAACTCCTTCAGGAATTCCCCTTTATTGGAATTTTTAATAGGTCATATTATCCAGATTGAGAATAGACTGTATTTCTTGTTTGACAGGTACGACAGCAGATGGAGGAGCAGGTGGCCCAGAAGTCCACTGAGCTGGAGCAGTACCTGCAGAGGGTCCACGAGCTGGAGGACATGTATCATCAGCTGGAGGACGCTCTGGAGGAGGAAAGGCGTGCCAGACAGGATGAGGAAACCGTCCGTAAGCTGCAGGCTCGGTCAGTCACAAGTTGGAGGAGGGAGGATGTACTCGACATACAGAAAATATTCTCACATTCTATACGAAGCGTTTCCATTTTAACTGACACAAGTGGTAACAAGTATAAAACAAACGATTGGTTCACAGCTAAATTATTAATCAGTTTATGTCCAAAGAGTCTCGCGATGAACTTATTCTGCTTCTTGGTGGGAGTTTCATAAAAAGCTAGACATTTATTCTACACACCACAGGCCATCACATTTCCTCCACAGCCTTCCTTCCTCTCTGCTGACATTGACTTTCCACCTCCCAATCAGCTGACCACCAAACTGTCGATGAGTCCTGAGTGGCGTCTCCAGCAGGACATCGGGCGGGTGCTTCCATTCACTCCACTGCCGTCTAAACTCAAACTAAGTTTATTTTAGTTTACTGTAACAGCCTGATTTTGTTTTTTGAAGTTGTCTCTTTGAGTGATGTTTGAGTTTTAATGCTGGGGATTTTGTGACACATTTAGTTTTTAATAAATAGATTTACCTTAATTGGGTGAGAGACACCGAGGACTTCTCTGACCAGAACCACCCTGACCGCTTCCCTTGTTTTATCAGAGGCAGCGTTGTAGATGCTGGTGGAACGTGCTCAGCCATGTTGCTTAACTCTTTGCATTCAATGCAGTGTTGCAGCAAATGCACCATAAACTAGAGAATTTGCGTTTCCTGCGAAAGTGCAGTGTGTATGCTTATTGCAGAAGAGCTTGCTGTGAAACAGCTGAAATTAGCTAAAATACATTCTGACATGTAGCTGAAATGGAATAACAAGCCTAATTTAGCAGAAGAAAGCAGAAAGGACAGCTATTTACTGATCTGGGTTTAAATGAGCAGAAATGAGCATTAAAATTGGAAAATTAGCTAAAAAAAAAAGGGGCTGAAATTAGCAAAAAATTGCTGAAAAGGCAGAAAGAAGCTTTAACTAGTAGAAGGCGGTAGGAGATGAAATGAGCTAAAAATAAAAAAACAGCATCAAAATAGCTAAATAGTAGCTAAAAGAGCAGAAAAAGCTGAAAGGAGCATAACAAGCTGAAATTAGAATAAAGAAGTTAATTGGCAGCACAACGGCTCAGTGGTTAGCACTGTTGCTTTACAGCAAGAAGGTCCTGGGTTCAATTCCTAGTTGGACCTGGGGTCTTTCTGTGTGGAGTTTGCATGTTCTTGTGCTTGCATGGGTTTTTTCCAGGTTCTCCGATTTTCTCCCACAGATCAAAAACTTGCATGTTGGGCTGCCTTTAGGCCCAGGCCTCCCTTTCAAAAGAGATCTGTGATCTCATGTGGATTTGCCTGGTTAATAATGAATAAGCTGAAACTAGCAGAAATTACCATGAAAATTTTGAATTTATCTGAAAACGGCTAAAACTAGCTAAAAAGCTAGCTGAAATTTATAACAAGCTTAAACTAGCAGAAGAAAGCAGAAAGAACACGTTTGCCCAATTATGCTGAAAGAAGCAGAAATGGGCACAAAACAGTGGAAATTATCAGGTAAAGATAATGGATGCATGGAAGATGAGATTAGCAAAACAACAGCTGAAAAGTAGCTAAAAAGACAGAAAGAAACTTAAATTACAAGAGGGCAGTGCAGATAGCACATTTTTGCTAAATTGGTTGAAAAAGGTTGAAAGGATTTTAAAAAAAAAAAGTGGAATTAGCTGACAAAAAAACTAAAATTAGCATAAAACAGCTAAATAGTAGCTAAAATAGCAGAAAAAACTGAAACTTGCAGAAATAAGCTGAAAGGAGTATACCAAGCTGAAATTATCGGAAAGAAGTTATAAGAAGCACAAAAATGTTTTTAGTTAGCAGAAAGAATCAGAAAGGAGCACAAAATAGCTGAAAGTAGCAGAAAAAAGTTTGAATTTGCACAAAGAAGCTAAACCAGAGCAAAATGTGAAAGGAGCAGAAAAAGGATGTAAACAGATCCAAAGATTTGAAGGATGTAAAATGAGCTCAATTCATTTTCTTTGAAAAAAAAAAAAGTGGCAGAAAAGGCTAAATATTTCAAAAAGCTAAAGTTGCACCAAAAGTCATAGCAGGATTGTCCTGAAAGAGCCGAACGTTTCGATTTGTGATTTTGTTGAAATAGCTTGAAAACTGTGGGATGAGAAAGATGCTGAAAAACATACGTAATAAAAACAGATCACAATCGGGTGAATGCTTCATAAACATTTACACAATCAAATGTTTAAGCATTTGATTTCTGGGGTCAATATTTAGATGTCATTTTGTTTTTAGTGTCTTTCTTTTGTAGTAAACGTCATTGTTTAATGAAAATTGTTAAAGTGCATAAAAACATTTACGCAGTCCTCTGTGTTAAGACGACAGCGCCTCCTGCTGTCACACTCACTAAAGTGATTTCTGCTGAACTTTACCTTTAAGTGTTGACTTCATCTGTCACAGATTTCCTTTGGGGAAGACATTAAATGTCTCTGTAAGCGAAGGCATGTTTGCAGTTCATAGAACACGTTGTCATACCTGTGCGTGGACCAGGTTGCTTGAAGAGGAGGCCATGAAGCGAGCGGAGCTGGAGCAGATCCACCTGCGACAGCAGCGGGCCATTTCGGAAACCGAGGCAGAGAAGCAGGAGCTGGAGAAGGAGCGCCTGGCCAAGGAGAGCGCCCTGCAGGCTGCAATGAAACAGCTGGACATTCTGGAGCAGGAGAGACAAGGAGCACTCGAACAGTACCAGGTCAGCTAACAGCAACAGCCAAACGATGACTTTATTTATACACGGAGTCTGAAACTTTCCTCGTGACTAGAAAGTTCAAAACACGATGAAGCTGAGCTTCAGATGTTCAAGAGATACCAGTAACTTCCATCCATCTGTCCAGCCACACATTATCTTTACCCGCTCCTTCCTTTTTTGGGTGGCGGAGGTCACTGGTGCCCATGTCCAGCAGTCACTGTGTGAGAGGCGGGGGACATCCTGGAGAGGTCTCCAGTCCATCACAGGGACACAGAGACAAACGAGACAACCATTCACACACACTTAGGGACAATTTAGTTACCAATCAGCCTAACATGCATGTGTTTGGTGTGTGGGAGGAAACCGGAGTACCTGGAGAAAACCCACGCATGCACGGAGAGAACACGCAAACTCCACCCAGAAATGTCCCGGGCTGGGATTTGAACTGGCGACCTTCTCACTGAGATGCCCTACTTGTAATTAATTATTTTCCTGCTCAGATTTTAATTTAAACATTTGTAAAACATGAGCTGTTCTCTTTCGCTGTGGTCCAGTTCTTCCTATATCACATTAAAGGAACAGTTCAGATTTTTTGAAGTGTGGTTCAGTGGAAAGTTCATGTACCTGTTGTTTCTTGAACGGGGAAACGTTCAACTCTTGACTGAACTGATGATCTAACAGCTCACTGGAGCAGGGGCAACACTGAAATGGAGTGCAGCCGTTTTATAGAAACTCAAAATTCAACAAATTCACCATTATTATTATTATTATTATTTTTTAATCCATCCAGAGGACCTGACTTAACTTTGTTAGATCTGTAGCTCTATTAACTCTTTCTTGTCATGTTGAGTAGAGCAGACGAACACGTACTACTAATATGAAACTCAAGCTGCTTATTTTGGCAGATTTTGTAGAGTCTGGTTAAATCTCTGTAGTTCTTCTGCTAAAGAACTACAGAACAATAAACGGATGTATAAACCGAGTCGATGAGTCAAATGAAAGACGGCTCGGCTTTACCCACTGCTGCAGGTGTTGGCTGAGGAAACAAATAAGGACCCGTTAAAAGCAGCTAAGCTGAGAAGCTAAGCTACGAGCTAAGCTAACAGGCCGACCTCGGGGAAAAAACCTCCGTCTTGTCGAAGCTCCAAAATTCACAGTTGAAACCTGTGCTTTCGGGTAAAGAGTTTTTTGCTGCAGAAAGAAGCTGAGAACTTGTTTACTGTTTTTTTTTTAAATTTTTATTAAAAGCTTTGTGTGAAAATTGCTATGCTAAAGAGCTCAAACCACACTGAGCGTCCGCCATTTTGAGAACCGAAAAAAGGAACGAGTGACAGCCCATGTCACCTCAAAAGGCCTCCCTCCCATTTTTCTTAAAGAGACACGCTGCTCGCTCCCTCACTATCCATCCTTCGGTTCATACTGTCTTATACTGCCATCCAGTGGTCAAAAAAAGGTACCACACTCAAAATAAGTTAACCGACATTTTCTTCTTAAATTTGACAGTAATTACTAATTATTGTCAAATTTCAAACAATATTATCGTTAATCGCAATAATTTCTGAGACAATTAATCGCCCAGCAAAATTTATTGTGACGGGCCTAGTGCCGCCACTTATCGGCTGTTGCTGCACTGACTTTAGGTATTATTTCAAATTGCATGCCATATTGCCCAGTAGATGTGCCTAAAACCTGAAATATCAGAAAAAGAGATTTGTTTTTAAAATAGTTTTATTCTGTTTTCATGTGTGAGTCAGACGGTGATGAAGAAGCTGGAAGATGCAGCGAACAACACAAAGACATGGAAGCACAAAGTGGCTCATCAGGAGGGATTATTACGGCTCATCCAGCCAGGTAACGACCCACCGCTGTCTGTCTGCGCTTTTTTATTTTTATTTTTAGGGCAAAGGTTAGTTTTTTAAGGATTCCCTCCCTCAAAAGTTCTCCTTTTTTAATCTTCAGCTACTTTCATTTAACACTTTTTCTTTTTTGCTAACCTAATACAACAACAAACAAACAACCTGAAACTATAAATTCAGTTCAGTTTATTTCTATAGCACCGCGTCACAACAGAAGTCGTCTCAGGGCACTGAAAGAAACATTCACATACATAAAAAGTCAATTAATAACATTATTTATCTTAGGAGCAGACTGCTTTGACTTTAACGTCATCATTTTGGATCAACTGAAGATGTTTTAAAGAAGTTTTTGGACACCCAGACAATAACCCAGCCTAGACGTTATAAAAGCATGAACTAGTTTTTCTGCATCAGCTTTAGATTAGATGTTTCTAATTTTAATGGTATTTCACAGGTGGAATAAAGCTGTTCTAGTAAAGTTTGTAATGTGGGGGATAAAAGACATGTCCTGATCAAAAATAACACCAAGATTTTTAACTTTAGAGCTGGAGGACAGATTAATGGAGGGAGAAAGACTGAAAAATTAATTCCTAAGATGCTCAGGTCCAAAAACCAAAACCTCCGTCTCGTCTGAGTTTAAAAGTAGAAAATTTAGGGTCATCCTGGTTTTTAAGTCTTTAAGACATGCTTGTAGTCCAAGTAACTGATTCGTTGGGGTTCATGGACAAATATAACTGTGCATCATCAGCATAGCAATGAAAATTTTAATAATAAATAGAAGCATTTTTCTCTAATTCCTAAAACAATTTGTTGACTTTAGAAAAATTTCAGTACAGAAGTTGTGGAAAAATAAAAGACCTGCTTAGAAACTTAATTTCACAAAGTTATCATTAAAGCTTCTTCTCTTGAGATAACAGATTTATTACAGCTATGGATTTCAACCAAAAAGAGCTTTTTTTTTTTTTTTTGATAAATAGGAAAATCATTTAAAAATCACAAAAAACGAAGTGGTTACTTCATCATGTTGGTGATTCAAGATGTAAATGTCTCATCAAAGAACGTCTTATCAACACGTTAGATCATCTCAAAGTGTTGCACTAAATGATGACTCAAGAGTTAGCACCCTAACCGTCGCTGACTTGATAAAGCAAGGCTCTTTTTAAAAATATTAAATATCTTATTTATTCAAAATAACGGGATGATTTTTTTTCTTTCGGCTGCTCCCTTCCTCAGAGGTCGCCGCAGCGAACTATTGCGCACGAAGACGTGGTAATTATTTTTACGCCAGATGCCCTTCCTGACTCAACCGCAGACCACTGAGCTACCACAGCCCTCTGTGTGGAGCAGAGAGCTGGTGTCTAGGGCGCCTGGGGGAGCAGATGGTGGGGGTTAAGGCTCTTGTTCAAGGGCCTAGAGTGGAGGGGGATGAGATGATTATTATGCTTCAAGTTCAAGAAAATTTAATATCCCAAAGGGGGCAGTTTGTTTCACAGTCAGTATAAAACATCCATACCAGACAAGACATTGAGACATTAAAGTAACGTAAATCATCAGTTTGTTGAGAAGCCTGATCTCTACAGGGATAAATGAGTTTTTCAGTCTGTTCGTCCTACATCTGGGCAGCAGATACCTGCGTCCAGATGGAAGCAACCTGAACTCAACATGGAGCGGATGAATAGGAGCTGCCAGAATCAGCCTGGCCTTGTTCACTGACCTCGCCTTGTGTAGGTCAGCGAGGTTCTGTAAGTTTATGCCAGCAGTTTTGCTGCACATCCTGACAATCCCTGAGAGTTGGTTCTTCTTGTTTTTGCGTGTCGAACGTCCAAACCAACAGATGAAAGTAAAAGTTAAAAGAGACTCAATAAAATGAGAGATTCTCGTGTCACACCAAGTTTTATCATTTCGTAGCGCTGCTGTGACGCTCGTAATGTGTTGATCAGTGATGGATAGCCACCATGACTGTAGTAAGATCTGATGAAGGTCTATTTTATTTATTTGTGATTTAGAAAATATAATTATCATGAGAAAATTAGCTTTTCAGCATTAAAAAAAAAAAGTCAGATATTTCAAAAACAAGTTTATTACTGAGGTAACGCCATAAATGAGCTCATCACGTAAATACATTTCTAAGCACGTCTGCAGAAAACTTCTGAGTCGAAGGAAATAATCTGCTCTTTGTCTTCACCAGGTTCCAAGGGGCCGCAGAAGATCACAAACTGGGGCCCGGCGGCGTTCACTGACGCCGAGCTCAGTCTGCGAGAGAAGAAATGGCAGGAGACGAAGAACCAGGCGGCGCATGCTCAGTAGAGCTGCTGTCAGGTCTTCAGCATGCCACGAAATCAAACCGGAGCAGACAGGCCTGACGGGATGTCCTGCGTTTGGTCATTTAACCCGCAACTGAAAGAAAACATGGTGGTCGGATATAAAAACAAGTTTACTAAGATAACAAAGTTTCATGGGCCATTAATTAAATGATAACTTTATTACCCGTCGTGAATTTTAGGTCCACAAAGCATCAGCTGTGCTAAAATCACTTACTGTTAATGTGAAGCAACTTTTCTAATATGTATTTACCAGGTTAAATAAAATAACGTGAAATAATAAAAAATGGTAAATACTGGAATGGAAATAGCTTTGTTAGTTTTTATAACTTTTTGTTGCTACTTTTATTTAGCAGCCAGTTCCTGTTTACTGTACAATCAGGCAGCTAAAGATGTTCGGTAAAGCCAAGAGAGCTGCGTTGCTAAAGTTAACGTATTAACATTTATTATTAATCTCATCTTCTGCCACAAACACAGGATATGTGACGGGCTTTTATGATCAGGACCCCCAGAACAGGATCTTGTTCAGTTTTTTTGTTTAACGTTAGCACCAACAGCTCGTCGTTGTTAGCTTTCTTCAAGAGTTTAGATTTGAGGAAGTGGGGTTCTCTGAGGATATTATTAACAACTAATATCTTACCTGTTGTAGATGGCTCTTTGAACAGCCTCAGTTTGGAGAAAGAGTTTAACTTAAAACGGATGGGTAAACAAGTGACGGCTGATTCAAAGCAGATTCCTGTTGTGCTAAAGCGTTAATCTCAAAATTTTTGTAGTGATTTATACAAGTAAAGTTTTATAAACCTTTCGGTTGTTATCAGTTTCACATTACACAGTTACTCTAGCAGAAATACTCTGATGTTCCTGCCACAACAATCCACTTTGGGCTCAGATGTGTTTGAACTCAGCCATTAGTTTCAGTCTGATCAAAGAGCTATCTACAACAGGTAAGATGCTAACTGTTAAATAATTTTCCCCAAGCTCCACTTCAGAAGATCTGAACTGTTCTTTTTACAGCCCCCTCCTACACACCGGAACAAGATGACCGAGCATCAGATTTTAACGGGTTAATGATGCAGTGCTCGGTCATAATTGAAGAAGGAAGATGTCGTAAAGTATTTTGTACCACCTGACTACTACCACGCTGTCCAGCGTTAGGAGTTGCTCTGTTTTTGATTAGCAGATTACAGTAGTCCCTCGTTTATTACAGGGGACCTGTACCCTGAAGCCCCGCGATAAGTGAAAAACCACAAAGCAGGGATAGTAGTATAAGTAGTAAGTAGTAATTTATAATAATATTCATATATATATATATATATATATATATATATATATATAATATAAAGGCGTTTTAAACCCTTCCCACACTCGTGGCCACGCCCACTTCTCCGCTGCAGAGCGGAGATCTTGACAAGCTGCTGGAGGAAGCTTCTCCTGCAGCTTGTGGTGCACACTGGTGCAGCGGGTGCTAAAATAATTCATTTTAAATAAAAATTCCATGCCGATCGTGCGGCTCATCCATCAATCAGCCATTTGTGTGTCATGTCCAATCTTATTTTGAAAAACCGCGATAGAGCGATTCCACGAATAACGAAGTAGCGCAGGACTACTGTACATCAGGTCGCTAAGAACTGACTCGGTAACAGACAAATAAATCTGCTGAAGTGCATTTCTATGAAAGGATAATTCAAGTTTACGTAATCCTGTGCTCTTGTAATCCAGATGGAGATCTTAAATGGTGTAAAAATCACATTTCTTGAAAACTGAAGCACTCTTGCATCAAGTTGAGTTGATGATAGGGTTGAGCTTAAATTCTGTTCACACCGCCCCCATGTATCACGTTCTTCAGTTTTGTCCCAGCTTTGTATTTGTGTTTTAAGAATTGCACTACTTTTAATCTGTCAGCCTCGCTGTTTGGGGCTCACACTTCTGGAAAAGACCAGTTAGGCTGCGAGTCTCCCAGAAAACTGTCCTGTGCCACTCGGGACTCTTTGAGGCGGTTTCTCAGCACAAATGAAAACGAGACGTGTTGTAAATATGTTCACTTTTTCCTGCTTTGTGACTTTTTTTCTTCTTCTCTTATTTCATTAACAAAGTTGTCTCCTGAAAAGGTAAATTTAAAAACATCTGGAATTTCCTACTTTTTTAATCATCGTCCAAGTGCTTCTCCGGTTAGTTTGATCTAGTTTGGCTCCGTCTAATAACTGGCAGCTGAGCATTTCCTGCTTGTGAATAAAGCGAAGGCCTTAAGCCAACATGTTTGGTTCTGTTAGAACCTCTAACAGAACATTTGTACTTGTTTGTTCAATGTAGCCGGTGCATCTGATACTGTCGTGATTGACTATTGTGAATTGATTTGGATTATTGTACATGTTTGTAAGAATTGAAGACTGAACTGTTATAAACTTATCTTGAATATCTTCACGTCCATCAGACTGATGTATCTTCTTTTTTTAGTAGAGTCTCAGCAGCATCTGCTCACCATATCCCAGCATCCTCCTTATTCACACCAACCCTCTGCTTATTCTCCTCCATCACATCCTTCAGTAGTCTTCCTCTTCTCCTCCATATTGACCACCCTTTGTCCAGTAAGTCCACTTGCACACGTTCAAACCATCTCAGCTCTGATATTCCTTTAATCCTGTCCAGTTCAGCCAGTCCCAATTAAAATCTTTGCCACCTCCAGCTCACCTCGACTCTTCCACCTGCTCCCTACTCTCACTACAGAGGTCGTCTGTAAATATAGAGTCCTGCCTGACCTCATCCAAGAACAAGAAGAGGTACAGAGCTCATCCATGGTGTGATTTCACCCCCCACCTCTCCACTGTCCCGTCCTGGAACGCATGAACAACTTTCTCATACAGAACCTCAAACCCTCTTAGTTTTCGGTCAGGAAGTTGTAAACGTAATGCCACAAAAGACAAAAATCTAAATATGGGTTTTGCTTAACTCATAACCTACATGCTGGTTGAGTGATGATGATTTTTGAAATGTAACATTCAAGTATATCTTTCAGTAGAGGGCAGTAGAGCTCTCACCTAATGATAATTTTAGAACTAAACCAGCTGTCCTTAATGTGTTTTCACTGTAGATCCTCTTAAAACAGCTATAAATAGTAACTTTTATTTTCCGTGACCTCACTGTGCAAACCTTCTGTGTTCCAGGATGATCAGGATCTTACTGTAACGTCGTTGTGCAATCGTAACCCTTCATGAAATTGCTGCCCTCATTTTGTGACCTCTCAGGAGGAAACATTAAACAAAGAATTTGGGAAGGATGCTTGTACGCACTAAACCAGCTTTTTAAAAAAATGCTTTTTTTTTCACAGGATTTTTCAAAGCAGAGCTTAGCACTAACTTTGTACTATTACACGCCCATTGTTCGAGGTGTTGTTAAAAGGTTTATAAGCGTTGAAATAGAACTTTGCTCATTTCTATCACTACAACGGACCGGCACAGAGGCTGCAATACTGCTCATTAATCCAGGTTGAAAAATCTAAGAAAGTAAAGTCAGGTCCTGTGAGCAGATTCTTCTTGTTCAAACATGTTGTCTTTTATCCAGAAGACTTCTTCATTTAAACTTTAGATTTCTAAAGTTTAAATTATCTAATGTGAAGACAAGTTTGTCTTTTAAAATGTAATTATATCTGAAACACGATCATTTAGTGGGGGAGTGGTGGCGCCGAGGTTAGGGAAGGTGGGCCTGTGATTGGAAGGTCGCCGGTTCAACTCCAAGACTGACATTAAAAAATGTGGGTGGGAAAGGTGAAACATCCACACCTGCCTCCACCCTCGCCTGCCCCGTTCTGGGCCCTTGAGCAAGGTCCTTAACCCCCACCATCTGCTCCCCTGGGCGCCCTGGATGGCAGCGCTCTGCTCCACACAGAGGGCTGTGGCAGCTCAGTGGTCTGTGGTTGTGTCAGGAAGGACATCCGGCGTAAAAACAATTGGCAAGTCTTCGTGCGAGTTAGTTTGACGTGGCGACCCCTGAAGACGGGAGCAGCCGAAAAAAGAAAAACCAGTCGTTTGTTCCTCGTCACTGAGGCTGCGGTTCAAGCTGCCAGCTGGAAGATGAGGAACAAGCTTCATGTTCTTCCTGTGAGGATTCAAATGTCACAACGCACATTTTAACTTCAGACAAGGTTACAGTGACTAAAACCTCAGCTGGGAAAATAAATCAAGTTCTCTTTTAGATGTATTTGTTGGTTTATGAGGCAGACATTTCAAATGATAACTTGTAATCAAATGTAACTGGAATGTCCTGATTCATGCTCAATAATTCATCCATCCATCCATTCGTTATCTTCTGCTGGTTTTTGAAGTCAGGTCTCGGGGGCAGCATCTTGAGCAGGGAGGTCTAGACATCTCCTTCCACAGACACCTCTTCCAGCTCTTCTGGGAGGACTCCAAGGAGTTCCCAGGCCGACTGAGAGACATAGTCTGTCCAGCATGTCCTGGATCTTCTCCAGGGTCTCCTCCCAGTCGGACATCCCCGAAGCCCCTCCCTAGGGAGGCGTCCAGGGAACATCCTTACCAGATGCCCGAACCACCTCAACTGGCTCCTCTCGATGTGGAGGAGCAGCGGTTCTGCTCAGAGTCTCTCCCAGATAACTGAACTTCTCACCCTGTCTCTAAGGGCGAGTCCATCTATCCTTCAGAGGAAACTCATTTAAACCTCCTGAATCTACGATCTCATTCTTTCGATCACTACCCAGAGTTCATGACCATATGGATAGGAACGTAGACCGACCAGTAAACAGGGAGCTTTGTCTTACAGCTCAGCTCCCTCTTCACCACAAAGGACCGGCACAGAGGCTGCAATACTGCTCATTAATCCAGGTAGAAAAATCTAAGAAAGTAAAGTCAGATCCTCTGGACAGGTTCTTCTTGTTCAAACATGTTGTCTTTTATCCAGAAGACTTCTTCATTCTGAGGAGCCACAACAAACTCAGTCCTATAAATAGCACCTTCTCTTGGTGGATCAATGGATGTGGATGTAACTGGAATGTTTTTCCAATATGGCTGAGTACAAGTTAATTTAAACTCAGATACTGTAGCTGGACTGTCTTGTGCCTTCTATTCTGGAAGTCTTCACTCTTTGTTACCTGCAACCCGCCCAAGAACGGACGTTTCCTCCTAACGCCTCGACAGCATCTAAACTCGAGGCAGATGACTCTACCTTGCAAAATCTCCACTTTCCTTTCAGCTCCCCCTTCAGATCCCCAACCAAGTTGAATTCGC